TTTTATTTATTCATCAATGATTACTAAGGCTGTTTCCATATCTTGACTACAATAAAGAATGTTACTATGAACATGAAGTGCCAATTTTTTTTGGAATTGGTGTTTTTATTTCCTTTGGATAGAGTCCCAGAGGTAGCAACTGCTGAGTCACATGGTAGTTCTATCAATTTTTTTTAGGGATCCCCATATTGTTTTCCATAGTGGCTGTACCAATTTATAATCCCACCAATTGCAGAATTGTTCCCTCTTTGTTTTTTTCTTTTTGGGTCACACTTGGCGATGCATAGGGGATAGACCTGATTCTGCAGTCAGGAATTACTCCTGGCAGTACTCGGGGGACCATATGGAATGCTGTGGATCGAACCCGGGTCGGCTGTGTGCAAGGCAAATGCCCTACCTTCTGTGCTATCGCTCCAGCCCCAGAATTGTTCCCTCTTCTCCAGTTCATGGCAAAAATGTCTATCTCTTCATTTTTTATGTCAACCATTTTAAACAGGCATGAAATAACATTGTGGCTTCAATGTGCATTATCTAATGGCTAATAAAAACTAATGATATTGTGTCTTTTCATGTACATGTTGAATTTTTATACATTCTCTTCAGAGAAATGTATATTCCCTTGGACATATTTTAATTGGATTATCTGATTTTTTTTTTTTGCTGAGTTGTATCTGTTTGGGGTACTGAACTTGTATCAGTTTTTGGTTTATAAATATTTCTTCCATTCTGTTTTCAGGTTACCATTTTATTCTGTTGATGATTACCTTCTCTATATAGAAACTATTAGTTTGAGGTACCCACACTTGTGTATTTGGAGTTTTTGTAGTCCTATGTAAATTTTAAGATATCTTTTCTACCTCAGTAGAAAAAAATTAGCTTGACCACAACAATAACACAAATGTAATAATAAATTAATAAATGGCCATTGCTGAGGGTTGACACAGGATGGATTATGCTTTCTGAAAAAACCATTTCTATGGTAGAAACATTAAAGCTCATGAGAGGTCTATTTCTACCTGGTTTAGAAAGAGGCCAAGTTAGAAATAGAGACTTTCTTGGGAATTCAACTGACTTTGAAGTTGGCAGCTTTTTTAATTTTTTTTTTAATTTAAGCACTTATAAGCCAACAACTAGTCTGTCAGGTATTTTTGTTCCATGACATACCAGCCTACAACTCTGATTTAAACTCTACAATTCTAATGGCACCTTTATTTCATTTTAGCTGTTGAGGAACAATCCTCATTCTCTATTATCTTCCTGTCAAAGGAGAATTTTACAATAAGTTATTTGAAATTTGGATAAGATAAAAATAATTTTTCACAAGCAATCTGACATTAATTACTGTCAATATTTTATAGGTGAGAAATGAGATGTTCGGAGGAATTGTGCAGTCTGTTCCAACAACACAAAGCTGAAATAATTTGTACCTTTTAAATACAAATCTTGCATTCTTTCTAATTACCTTGTGTTATGGAACAAATTATCTCCCCCTCAAAATTTATCTTAAAGCTCTCATACATGGGTTCCCAGTGAGAGAGCATCTGGAGATAGAGCCTAAAGAAGAGAATTAAAGCTAAATAAAGTTGTGAGGGTAGAAACCTAACCCGAAACCTAACCCAATAAAACTATTGTTCTCATAAAAGAGGAAGACATATCCAGGACATTTACTCACAAATAAGACAATGTTGGAGACAGAATAAGAAGGAGAGAGGCAGAGGAAAAAGTAGTAACACTCCTGGCACTCTGGTCTTGGGACTTTAAGTGAGAAGGCAAATTTTGGTTAAAGTCACACATTCTCTTCTATATGGCAGCCCTCTAAAATAAAGATGCCCTAATACCTCAAAATTAGTATGCCGTCACAATCATGACAACTCAGAAGGCTCTATATAATACAGTGCTTGTATTTAAACTAGCAATTCTATCCTGTTCATTTCATAATTCTAAAAAAAGAAATTGAGATACATCTGTTTGACAGACTTATAGCAGGTGCTTATCTACTGCCATACTTTCTATTACAGATGCAAGAAAAAAGTATCCTCATGCTTTCTGCCAAATTGTGGCAGGCCACACTGAATGGAGGAACACAGGAGAGAAAAGAAAAAAAGGAAGGGTGGGATCTTGAGAGATCTTGAGATCTTGAGAATTAAACTGAACATGGGTAATTTGATCAACAAACATTTGACCTGTACCTTCAGAAGAGTAGTATGAAAACATGGTACTCCTTAACAGTGGATAAACAAAAAACAAGAATATGACATGTGTCATACGTTTGGCACTAAGGAAGATCTGGTCGTGTTGGAGTTCACATTGTGATTGGCCGTGTGCAACGCAAGCACCTTAATCTCTGTATTATCTCTTCTGGAGTTTTCTTTATGCAATAAAATGTTTCCTCATAGGCTTCTTGAGCTTAAAGTATGCTAGGGGACCAGAATCACCCTACTAACCTGGGAGCTCATTAATAATGCAAACTATCAAATTAGCCTCCAATCTGTAGCATCAAAATCGTCATTTTAATATGATTGGAATATCGTTTAAGGTATGAGAAGACCACCTTACAACCTGATTCTTAACTTTGGTCCTAGAGACAACAAGAGTTTCATGAAACCCCTGAAATTTCGTGCAGAATTTTTAATGAGTGAATACAGACACAATTTTTAATAAGTGAACACACACACACACACACATTTTACGGAGGAAAGAAAAAGACCACATGTATTTTTATCAAACTCTCAAAGGACTACATGACCCCAAGCAGATTAAGAATCACTGTGCTACAGGATTCTATGCCACAGTTTAAAAAGTCAAACTATTTGAAAAACTATTTATGCTGCTCTCAATGAGGCCTGTTAAAGAATGACAAGAATGAAGGTCAGAACGTCACAGTGGGTCACGAAAGACCTTATCTGAAGAATTTATTCACACCATGCAAGAACTATGCCAAGAAACCAGTTTGGAGACATCTAAATAAATAATTCTCTACATGAGGTTTGAGATTAAGAATGTGCACTTGAAGAAGATTCAAACTGAGAAGTAAATAAATATAAGGTAGAATTTTTTTAAAGATAGGATGCCATTAGATGACAGTGAAGTGCTGAATTCTTGTTGTAAGAGCTCAATCAGCAAAACTCTACCATGAATTCTGTTTGATTTGGGCATGGCACCATTTAACATGCTAACTTCCAAAGGGAACCATGTAAGATTTCCCTTATGAGGAACCACCAATGTATTTTACCCTTTTTATCTTCTCTGTACTCTAGAATAAAAGCTCAAAACAGAAATATAGTGTAGCACATACATTAAAAATCCATCTGCAGTGAGCGGATGATAAAGAATAACTCCTATCCAGGATATAAGAAGAACTACATGTTTTTTTCATTTTTTCCTTATCATCCTACCATCTTTGGGGGTGGCATGGGGGACATATTATCAGGGACATAACTATCCACTGTCCTCCTATTGTTCATCGATTTGCTCAAGCAGGCACCAGTAATGTTCCCATTGTGAGATCTGTTGTTACTGCTTTTGGCATATCCAATACTCCATGGGGAGCTTGCCAGGCTCTGCCATGCAGGCGGGATACTCTCGATAGCTTGCCGGGCTCTCCAAGAGGGACGGAGGAATCGAACCTTGGTCGGTCTCATGCAAGGCAAACGCCCTACCTGCTGTGCTATAGCTCCAGCCCATCAGGGACATAACTATGTATTTAATTTCTCTTTGGTTTTAGACCATACCCAGCAGTGCTCAGGAGTCTGGCTCTGGATCACTCAAGGTTAAGAAAGCTCTTTGTCTATGTTCCACTTCTTGCACCAGAAAGACAATGCAGTGGGTAGAGCATCTGCCTTGCACATGGCCAACCCGGTTCAAACCCTGGCACAACATATGGTCCCCCCAGCTTTCCAGGAATGATTTCTGAGCAAAGAACCAGGAGTAAGTCCTGAGTACCATAGGGTGTGGCCCCCCAAACAAAAAACAAAAGAAAAAAGGCAACATCTCTCTTTTGGGGGGTGGGGATAGGGGAAGTTTGGGCCATACCTGGTGGTGTTCGGGGCTTACTCCTGACTCAGCACTCAGGAATCGCTCCTGGTGGGACTCAGGAGACAAGATGGGATCCCAGGGATCAAACCTGGGTCAGCTGCATGCTTGACAAATAACCTATCCACTGTACTATCGCTCAGACTCAAAAATAACAATTCTTATTTGTCTCAGCTAACTTAACCTGCCTCCAATTTCAGTGGCTAGTACCTAGATGAGATCTATTGTATTTACTGTTTTTGGCATATCCCAAAGAGGAACTGAAAGAGCTATGCTTGGAGTATCACGCTTCACTCAAGTGAGAGAAAGAATCCAGAGTTCTGACCTCTGTCGACGGTTGAGAATCAGGGACGCTGTCTCGTTTGCCAAGTCATCGAAAATCAAATGGGCTGGACACGTAATGCGATTTGGAGACTGGACTAGAGCAGTTACCGACTGGATTCCATGGGACAACAAAAGATCGCATGGCCACCCACCTACAAGATGGTCAGACTTTTTCATCAAGACCCTGGACTATCGGTTTGAGGCTCTTTGTGTTCCTGGAGTAAGTAGACGCCATTGAGCTACACTAGCACGTGACAGGGATGAATGGAGATGTTACTGGCATCCATTCGAGCACATTGATGAATAAAGGGATGTCAAGTGATCAAGTGATCAAGTACCTAGATCTTTTTCTCTAAGTCAGGTATACTCTTCTCTTCCCTCAAAAAACAGAATCTAGTTATTATTTAAAAAATAAATCTGAAACTTTTTTAAATGATGAATTCGTTTGAAATATAAAGAATTCGAATCAAACATCTTAGTGGTTTTAGTTCCTTAAAATCAGAAACTAGATTTCTATATTAAATTGATCTTTAATATATCAAAGATTGCATAAGCAATATTCTATGGAAATATTTTTTTTAATCACATCCAGAACATACTATACTTAAACCAAAATAGTCTCCCTTGCCCAATTCAAATGTTACCTCTTCATCGTCTTCCTCGTCTTCTACATCCAGAATTCCTGAATCCTGTTCAGACTTGGGGCTAGTGCTTTCCATCTCTGTGTCAAAAATTATATAAGCATCTTTCTTAGATTTTCTCTTGCTGCCAATTCTAGGTTGCTGCAAGACGATGTTATCCAGGTTTCTTTGTTGTTGGGCCTAACATACACAAAAGAAAAAGAAAAAAGAAAGAAAACATAATTAGACAAATCATTTTTAAGTTTAATATGAGACTAACACCCAAGGTCAGTAGAGACAAAGCTAGAAAGATTGCTCCATGTTGGAAGTCTGCCCTACAAGCTGGGGAAGAAGGCAGATGGGATAGAGAAGGGATCACAAAGTCAATGATGGTTGGAGGAATCGCTCAGGATGGGAGATGTGTGCTGAAAGTGGATAAAGAACCAAATGTGATAGCCTCTCAGTATCTATATTGCAAACCATAATGCCCAAAAGCAGAGAGAGTATGGAGGAAATTTTCTGCCACAGAGGCAGGGGTTGGGGTCGGGTGGGGGTGGGGGAGGGACACTGGGGACATTAGTGGTGAAAAATGTGCACTGGTGGAAGGATGGTGTTTGATCATTTTATGACTGAAACTCAATCATGAAAATTTTGTAACTGTGTCTCAGGGTGATTCAATAAAAGAAAAAGAATTTTTTAAGTTTAAATATAGTGGTATCACAAAGAACATACAAAAACAAATTGATTGACATTAACTTTTACTCTCAGAAGTAAAACCAAACATATTAGAGCATATATACCTAACCCTGAAGTTATTCCATTTGACTCTTATATTGTTTTCATAGAAAATGATACTTTTATTATAAGACTTCCTTGAATTTATCTATATAAGAAGTCCCCAAAACTTATTTAACCCTCTGGCTCCTTTTCAGGAAAAGAAAAAAACCTCACTCAGTACCTCCCTGGTAATCTGCCTTCTTTAAGCGAACAGAAAATGTTCCCCAATTGAAGACACAGTTGCTATCCCTACACTGTCCCAGACCCTACTAGAGATGGTGCCACCCACTTTGGGAAACACCATATAAGGTATGAGAAAAATGAAATCTTCCCTTTTTCATCTAGGTGAGAAGGAGATTAGTGCAAAAGACTTAAATACTACTACATACAAGATAAATACCGCACTAAAATCATTATGGCTGGGGAGGAAAGAAAGTAACTTCTAGACTTTGAAACACTTAGAAACAGCAATATGAATGAATATGAGACAACAGACTATTGTCAACATGAAATTTTAAGTGATTTGAACCAATTCATTAACACCACAGAACTTCATTAATCTGTGGAAAACAATTTTAAAGGGTTTCTTCTTCTTCACTTTCTAGTAAAAGGAAGTGTAATCCCTCAGCCTACCCCACAGTCTCCGATGATAGTATGGTTTCAACAGAAACAAAGAGGCGGGGAATGTGACTATGCAGAGTCAACAAAAGAAGTATTAAAGGACAGTATTAAATGTGCCCATGACCTCAGTCAGCTCTCGGGGCATTGAGTCTAAAGGACAAAGGCTTCCTCTGAGGTCACAAGGGTAATTAGTAGTAAAGCAGAAGTTCAAAGTGCGATCAAGTTCCTAATTATGGATCAGTGATCTTCCTATATGACCAACTTCCCCTCAAAGTATTGCAAAGCGTCTTTCCCCAAAACAGGGTCTGCGGTCAAATAAACAAGAAACACCACATGTCTGATTGCCTTCTTGTAGATATACAAGGTATAACAGCAGAATAAAAACTCAGAATTCCTGTTGTAAGGAAACTTTTTAAACTTGGTTTCACCAAACCAGTTGCAAAATTACTTCAAAATGCAACTTTTCTTCCCCCCGCCTCCGCCTTGAGTGCAGTGGGAGTGGGGGGAGGGAGTATGACTCCCAAATAGTGCTCAAGGTCTGGGACCAGTTCCTGTGATAACCTGCCCCTGTGCAAGCCTGGCGGGTGAGTATTCAACCTGGTGATGAGAGCCATGCAGTGCCAAGGATGGGATTGGGAACAGGAGAGCAGAAATGGGGAGAGGGAGTACAAGACACACATTCCAGTTCCTCTAGGCTGTCCCCCCCAGACCAGAACCTTCCCCCTCAAAATAAAAAAATAACACCTCTCATCATCCCAAAATACCAACCTTGAGAAATATGACTTCTCTTAGAATATAAATTCCTTAATCAACATATGCTATTTCAACTCAGTGACAAGTAGAAATTAGAGAAAACAAAGCCTCCAACTACTCTAAGTGACATTAATATATTCAAGATAAATACTAAGTGTCAGACCTGAGCCCAGGCACTGGTTAAATAAGAGCACTATAACAGGGTAGAGGGAAAACTTGAACACTGGGAGTTAGTTTCTGCCAAGAAAATGAAAAGAATCTACATTCCAGAGATTTGAATCAATGGACAAACTTGTCTCTCTGCAATGTACTTGCTCATTGATATTTTCATTTGACTCACATAAAATACATGGCTGGGTAACAAACTTGGAGAAGATACCTCAAAATATTTAAGTTTGTATATTAGACATACCAATCTTACAGTTGTTTAGGAGCCTGTCAGAAATAATACGCTGGCAACTCCACTCAAAATTAAGATTTTCTTCCTCTCTTACTCCCAATTTGAACCTAATGAAAAGGGATCAAGGCCTCTGGGGAGGCACCGAGTCAGGGAGCACTTCCTACAGAGGAAAGCAAGCCCTCATCTTATTTAACCATCTACAGTGGTCCCTTGTCCCTTAACTCCATCCATTCAAGGACAGTTCAGCAAAGCTAAAGCTTTCCAGCGCTTGGAGAGATAGTCCAGCAAGTTAAAATAAAACAACAACAACAACAACAACAAAAAAAAAACACAGAGCTTTCTGTAGACTAGAATTTTACTAAATCCTAAATTGTATATTTTTCTTTATCTAGCAAATCAGAAGGACTCAAAATAATCCACTCTTAAATACTGATATTTAACTTTGAAGTGGAACAACTCTAAAAGAGTCTCATTGATTTATTATTTTTAGTTACCGCCTGGTTTACCTATCAGTCTGTAATACCACAAGTTGCTGGGGCCAGATCAGCAAACTGAGATAGCAAACCCTATCCTCGAAAGCACATGAAGGCATGTTTCAAGGCTCCACCTGGGGCCTCTACCAGAATTAACCAGGTCTCTCCTATGTGAAAAGCAAGAGTCATCAGGGCAGATGTTATAGGAAGAACTAGGAAATCAAAACTCAGCTAGTCCTCATTATGGCTGCAAATAGAAATCACACATCTATACAAAATGTTTAAGTACTGGGGAGAGATTGAATATAAATATAATTTATACATATGCAAGCTGGAGCGATAGCACAGCAGTAGGGCGTTTGCCTTGCACGCAGCCAACATGGCCGCCCCGAATTCAATTCCTCCGCCCCTCTCAGAGAGCCCGGCAAGCTACCGAGAGTATCTCGCCCGCACAGAAGAGCCTGGCAAGCTCCCGGTGACGTATTCGGTATGCCAAACACAGTAACAACAAAGTCTCCAATGGAGACGTTACTGGGCCCGCTGGAGCAAATCGATAATCAACGGGAGGGCCTTTACTTTACTTTTACTTTACATATGTAAGCAACCTAAATAGAGATGCAAGTTTCCATGTATATGTATAATATACTTAAGGTAAAAAAAAAAATCACAAAGTCCATTTAAAAAAATTTTAAGTCCTTCAGAACTCTTTTGGGCTATACATGGTGGTTCTCAGGACTTCCTCCTGGTCCTGCACTCAGGAATTACTCCTGGCAGTGCTCAGGGGACCACTGGAGAGCTGGGAATCAAACCATCAAACCCAGATCAGCTGCATGCAAGGCAAATTCCCTACCCACTGTACTATCTCTCCAGCCCTGCAAGAACTCTTCTACCATGCTAAGCTATCTCACCAGGTCCATTTATTATTTCCACAAAGACTACCTTAATAATCTAAGCCAAGCAGGGGGCTGAGGGTACAGGGATAGTTCCGTGGTAAGTAGTACTTGCGCTAGCAATGTGAGGCAGTGTTCAATCCTCCCATACTGCCCAGAGTGCTGAAGGCAACCCTAGGACTGGGATTCCCTGCACTTGCAACAGAATGTGCAAACTCCAGAGCACTGCAGGCAAGTGTGCAAGCACCACCTTTGAGCAGTCTGACCACCTAGTGCAATTACAATGTGGACCCTTGAGGTCAGAGAGATAGTATAGCTGGCAGGGCGCTTGCCTGGCAAGCAGGCAGCCTGGATTTGATCCCCAGCATCTCATATGTTCCCCAGAACTTGCCAGGAGTTGATTTGTAGTGCAGATCCTGGAAGACCCCTGAGCATCCAAAGGCTGGACAAGAGAGGACAGGGAAGAGGAGGGGAGGGGAGGGGAGGAGTGGAGAGGGGAGGGGGGGCAGAGAGGGAGAGAGGAGGAGGAGGGGAGGGGAGGAGAGGGGAGGGGAGGGGAGGGGATGTGTGGACCCTTGTGGAGAATGGAAGTAGGAGCAACACATCAGCAAGCTCTACAATCAGAACACGCAAGAACACCCAGCTAAATAAGTATGACCCTCAGCGAGCCAGGTAAGCACTGCAGCCAAAATCATGGAATCCCTGGGGAGAATTCCCGCTGAGATGTAAGCACCACAACCAAGTGCATGAGCTTGACAGCCAAGCATGTGTGTGAACCCCAGTCACTGTGACAATAGTAGCAACAAAAAGGAAGGAGTTAAAACCACAACTGATTTTCCACTGCCTGGGCTGAAATGGGGGAAGGAAGGCAAGGTAGACAATAGCCGCTGGACCTTAGAAAACATTTAGGCTGTCCTTTTCTTAGCTGTTCATCCACTTTATGAACAATTGTTATAGATTGTTCCTCAATATTCTCAATATTGCCTCCAACATAAAGTCTTTTCAGTTTTGAACGAGTACAAATCCAAACTCCATACCCTTATCACCGAGACTCCCAATGCAACGAAATTCTCATTTTTCAATGTAGTATCTAGTTCTCTGCAAAACAAGTCTTCTGGTGGGTCTATTTTGGGGGGAGAGTGGGAAAATATCCGGTAGTACATACTCCTGGTTCAGGAAACACTATTGGTGATCCTTAGGGGGACCATAGTGATACCAAGGACTGAAGCTGGGTCAGATGCATGCAAATTTGCTTATTTAACCGCTATACTATCTCTCTGACCTCTC